AGAGAGAGAGAGAGAGAGAGAGAGAGAGAGAGAGAGAGAGAGAGAGAGAGAGAGAGAGAGAGAGAGAGAGAGAGAGAGAGAGAGAGAGTAGTAGCATTTCTATTTGGGCATGTAAAGTTTCAAATCCAGGATCTTCTGATGAGGCAGAGGCAGAGGCAGAGGGCGGGTGGGGGAGAGAGAGAGAGAGAGAGAGAGAGAGAGAGAGAGAGAGAGAGAGAGAGAGAGAGAGCACCGACCTGATTGACACAAGCAAGAAGCCAGTCCAGAGTGACAATGGTGGCATTCAACGTGAGGGCTACACGGTACTTCTCTCCCCCTGCAACTCGACATAGGAGGTGAGTAGTCTTGTTCTTCAGTATTTCGCTGAATTTACCGCCAAGAGCCTTAACCATACATTTTGCATACTGCCGCTCGTCATCATCATATTGTGATATACAAAAGAACCTGTTCTCAAATTCAGGAAGCGGCACTGAGCACCTGAGAGGTCTATACAGGACATGACTATCTGGATCCCTTAAGGATTTATGCTGTTGTCAACACGAAACAAAAAAAAGGAGCAGGTGATGCCCCAGAAAAAGACGGACAGAGGGACAGCAAAATTGCCAACAGTTAACGATAAAAACAACGAAAAAAACAAGAGCAAAATAATCAATTGAAAAGATCAAGTTGCTTTGAGACCGAGCATCCATGCACAGCACCCCACACCAAGCTGAAGCTCACACATACAGAGCACAGGTGAGATGTAACGCAAAGACAGTGTCTGCCAATCAACTCCATTACACAGGATTGTCGTTACACAAGGAGTGGCTATGGCCGCCTGCAAGCTCTCCCCGGTATGGTCACTCTCTCCTCCAGCGATAGAAGGTTAATGGACGCCCAAAATTTCAACGTTTTTTGAATGCTATTTATAAGAAAACCGAAAGGCCTTCTTAACCAAACTTGCCGCCACTCCATAGAGTGGACACCATATACAAAAACGAGAACGAAAACAAATACAGGGTGAAACTGTGAGGCAATCATGCTTTCAGTGTTTTACACGGTTAACTCCGTTCACCACCGGTCCCTCCAGCCTCACTTCTCTCTCCTCTCCAAGGTCTCTCTCTCTGTGAATAGCTCTCAACTTCACTCACCCTCAAAACCTCACTCTGGACCTGGCTCTGGCTACTCCGTAAGGGCGGCCAGCGCCGTAGACTAGCTCTATCAGCCAAGCATTCGTGAAGATTGTACATGCGACTAGTGCCATCAATCGAACAAGGACTGTGCCCCAGGACTAAGACTCGGGACTGCGACTTGGGACTCGGACCTGGGACTGGGACTGGGACATGGGACTAAGGACTGGGAATCAGGATAGGGACTAGGACTCGAGACTGGGACTCAGGTGTTTTGTGCCTGATTGAAACGAGATACAGCATGACATCCACACTTTCCCATACACATGCGCAATGACAAGAGAATACACAGGGGAAGCACTTTTAAAACCAAATATAGAATTGAAAACACATCTAAATTGATCTTATTAATATCCCTCTTGCTCCAGCCAATCAACGCACTGTGCTTCCAAGAATTCCAACCACGTTGTCAGCACCCAGAAACCAATTATTTACAAGATTTGATCATAATCCGCGGGAGACTTCTTCTTCCTCCCCACCCTGAGCTTCTAGCTATGGTGCAGCAGGGCTGTGTTATGTGCCTGATTGAAACGAGATACAGCATGGCATCCACATGTTCCCATACACATGTGCAATGACAAGAGATCTTGGAGAGAGCAATTCACACCACACCGGAGGAGAGAATACACAGTGGAAGCACTTAAATGCAAGGAAAACGAGCAATAGCGAGATGACAATATCGAGAATGCACAATCACATTGAAGGCCAGAAAGTATCACAGTGTCCAGAAAGCAGCATTGCACCAATATGACACCAATGGAGAATCGTAACACTGAAAACCAATGTCAATGAGAGCTTGCTCTCGCCACCACGAACACAAGAGTCCAGGACCTTCTCCCTACTTGGCGCTCGACGCCCAGCCTACTTCCTACACAGCTACTATCTGTCTACTAATTGACAATGCAACTGTTGACGTCAGCAGCCCACGAAGTACTTGAAGATGTCGCCCACTGCAGACCATCGCCAATACCAGTTATGTGCCCTCACATCATCATCATTATCATCATCCTTCTCTCTCCCACGACTTACACCCACGTCTGCCCTCTGTACACCCAAAGACCACCGCTGCGCCTCACTGTAGTCCAAGAGCTATGAAGGCTGGGCTATGGCGCTGCCCTAAGCAGCACCCTGCTTCCTGCACGATCGCACGAGCGCAGCACCTTGCCCTTAGCGCTCGGCAGCCCGCGAGCAATTGCTCCAGCAGCGCTGCCCCATCATCTGGCAAGTGCCTGAATGAGCGCCCCGGCAGCGAGCTCTTTCCTGTATGGAAAGAGCCTGCCTGCCCCGGCGGCCTGACTGGCCCGGGCCTCTGCCCAGAAGCTTCCGGTAGGCCCCAGGAGGCTGTGCCTCTGTTGCAGCTGCTGGGCCTCGTTCGGTTGGGCCTCCCAACTGTCTGTGTATGAGGCTGCGATTCTTGCCCAGGGCCTGCATTTCCCGAAAGGCCTGGTAGGCCGTGGAATATCTTTGCTGCTTGGCCTGTGTTTCCCTCAACCAACTGGCGCGTCACAACTGCCTGGACCCCAAATACGAAATTGACAGCAATGGGCCTCTTGAGATTTGTTAGGCCCGCCTTCACTTAGGCCGGGCACATCTGTAGCAAGGGCCCCTTAGGCCTGCCGAGGACCGAGATCCTCGCATAAACCAAAAATAGAATTGAAATTAGTAAATTTACTAAATTACTCAATTCTCATTAATATCCCGCTCCCTCCAGCCAATCAATGCACTGTTATTTCCAAGAATCCCAACCAAGTTATTAGCATTTACGAACCAACTGAGGGGAGAGTTTCAACAAGTAAGAGAAACTTCTTCTTCCTCCCAGCCCCAAGCTCACAGCTATGGCGCAGGCCTGCGCCCAACCTATCAAGCCCATCAAGGGCCACCAACCCTCCTGAACCCGACACGCCACTCAGCAGCCCAAACTTGATGCCCACTACAGATGAAGTGTCCGCTCAACAGGGCAGGGTAGCTCCCAGGACGAAGAAGAAGAGCACCAGTGCTTGATGAACAAGGTGATGGCTGCCACTTCGACAAACACTTGCAAGAAGGGTTTCAATGGCGATCCTGCCTATCCCCAACAGCAAAGGTAAGAGGAGGCGCTTCACAGCGATCAGGGCCTGATGCCCAGCGCAGTCACAACACGAGCCAGGAAGCCCCAGCTATGGAGAACAACCATAGCAGCATGAAGATGATGCGGCAAGTGAAATAATGCAGCACCCAAACAGCACGCGACCTCCAGCAGCACTTCGTGGAAAAAAATGACGAGACAGAACCCGTTTTTCCTTGCCCTTGAAACTTTTGTAGACTGCTGTTTTCCCTGACTCGACAGCCTACAGCCTACGAACGACAGCCTATAGCCTAGGACCAAATCTGGACCTAAAATTGGCAAAAGGGGAGGACAGAAACCACCTACAACTCAAGGGCAGAAAGGACAAAACAGAGAGACCTAGTGGTATTACAGCTAGCCTACAGAGACTACTCCAAACAGACCTAGGGATCAGGCCCAGTTGGGCAATCACACACACAAAAAAAAAAAAACAGCAAACAAAACAGGTCACGGGATTGAATCCCGGAGAGCTCAAAACCAGGCAACATCAAACGAAGTTAGTGTACAGTCCGCATGCCACTGCAATTCATTGCATTCCTACCCTCCAGGAGAGCGTGAACCCGGAGCAAGGAGTGTCCACGGGAAGAACGTCTGAGGGGTTGCCCTTTCTGTTCGGGGTCCACGCTCTCCGGGAGGGTAGGCCTCATAGGCGTGCACGACTGAATTTGCAACTTGAGAAGTTCCTTCCTTGTGAACCATCGGTCCTCTGTGTGAGGTTGGAAAAGGAACTTCACAAGGTATTCACAGTTGAGGCCTGTGCCCCACTGATCCTCTATGCTCTCGACTTCATATCCCTTCCCAAGGATAGGAGGTCCAAACTGTGATGGCCTGTCAGGAAAGGCATCGGCAGGAGTGAAAGGCCGCAGTTTTGAGGCATGGAAGACCGGATAGGTTTTGATATGAGAGGGTACCGCAAGTACGTAGGAAGGTCCAAATGGATCCGCCCCACAGTATCAAGCACCTGCCCTACACACGAAATATGGCCACGTGCGTCTTTGAATGGGCCGTAGTAAACAGGCAACAAAGAGATATCTTGTTCATCAGTTAGCTCAGATCTTTTCACCCAGACGCAGTGACCTGGTCGTATAGTAGAGGGACAGCGATGCTTGTTAGCCTGTTCGATCATCCTCTTCTAGGCCTTGAACATACTAGTTCTAGCTTTTTCTAGGTCCTTCTCAAAACTCTTGGTGAACTCTGCAGTGCCAGGAGTTAGTTTAGGCTTGGACTTATCAAAGAGATCATCCAAAGGTTGTCCGGGGTCTCTGGCGAAGTGCAGCCAATAGGGTGTAAAGCTTGTCGAGCTGTGAACAAATGTATCATACATTAGTTGTGCCCTGGCCAAACAGGACCTGATTCATTACTTCATCCTGTCCGTTGGCTTCAGGATGTCTCCCAGAGGTCATGTCCAGTCTGGAATGCAGGTAGTGTTTACAGAAAGATTGTCAATCGTCGCTGCAGAATCTGGGGTCTCTGTCATTGACCAGGGAGGATGGGAACCCATGGACATTCACCCACCTCTCACAAAAAAACTCTCTGACCAGAGGCAATCTGGCCTCAGCAGATAAAAGGGATAAACTCAGCATACTTTAGAAAATTTATCAATGCAAACCATACGCGTGGCGTGGTCTTGCCCAAATCTGTGAAGTCAATGGACACAGACTCACCTGAACCATCAGGGATGGGTAGAGGTTTGAGTAGTCCCATATGGGGCCGTCCTTGTCCCTTCAGCACAACTCACAGGTCTCCAAGTAGTGCAGGATATCGTCCTTCATCTTAGACCAATAGAAACGTTGGGTCAGGGCAGCATACGTCTTTAATAGCCCAAAGTGACCACGAGCATCATGACTCTCTGAAATCAGATGAGTAATGATCTTGCAATCATTAGGGATACAAAGACGCTCTTTCCCCCTGGCTCAGAATTGGGGTCAGTCTATAGCTTCCTAAGGATGGGACCAAAGACTGGGTCCTGAGGCAACGCATCAGCGATGGCCTGTCTGGTGGAATCAGCAAAGAAGTAAGTATCAACAATGGCAGCAAATGAACCAGGTCTACGTGACAATGCATCAGCAACCTCGTTATAGCACCCCTTCTTGTGCTACAGTTCAAAGTCAAATCCATCAATGAACTGAATATACCTCGCCAGTTTGTCATTTAACTCACCTTGGTCTTCATCCACTGCAGAATGGAGTGATCAGAGTAGATCTTGAAGAGTCTCCCAAACAAAAGATGTTTCCACTGTTTGAGGGCACAGATGAAAGCATGCACTTCTTTTTCATAGGTAGATGCCTGAATTCTCTGCACCTTCATTGTCTTACTCGTGAATTCCACTGGTTTCAGACCAGTGCCATGATCTTGCTGAAGGACTGCACCAACTCCATACTGACTTGCGCACAAAAAGGGACTAAGGCTGCACTGGTGAAATGCTTTCAGTCAGTTAGTAAAAAAACAAGGAAAAACAGGGTCACCTTGGTTGCCCTTGTGGCCCGGTCAGGCAAGAGCCACGGAAGGTCCCTACAAAAACTGGACTCAGGACCGGGACTAAGGCTACAGCAGTGAAATCCTTTCTAAAGTCGGTCAGTAAAAAAAAGGAGAAAAAAACAATCACTTGACATTCGGGTCACCTTTGTTGCAATTGCAGCCCAGTCGGGCAAGAGCCAAGGAAGGTCACTACGGGAGAGGGGGGGGGGGGACTAAATAAAAAAAAACTGAAGAAAAACTACGCTGTGCAGAAAATTAAAATGAACAACTTTTGCCTCAGGGTCCTACAGCGAAATGCGATACTCAATGTGAATTGGAGACATCTGTGAGCCATTGACACCTTGAACGCACGTGTCACCCAAGGCTTCTGCCGAGGGCACGCGAGGCCACGCCCGCCTGAGCATCTCACTAAAATGAGCAAGCTTTGCCTCAGGTTCACATTAATTTTTTTTTACCAACTCAAAATTTAAATACAAAAAAAAATAATAATCTTGTTTTAAAATTTCTGAGTTTTATGCTCGGCTATTTTTCCTGGCGCCCGGGCACCCAACTTGTGCCCGGGTACATGCCTGGGTGCCTGGCCCGGTATGACCCCCGAGCAGGGTTCCAAGCCCCAGCGCAATTAAAAAAAAAAAAAAAAAATCTGGAAAAAAATATGTTGTGTAGAATTGAAATACAAACGACTTTTGGTTGAGGGTCACATTATAATTCCTCACAGAATTAGAGACGAAGAAGAAAATAACAGAATCACACAAAGGCACCCCCCTTTAAACCCCTTTAGCCCCTTTAAAACCAATTTATACCCCCCTCCCCACCCCTTTTCAGCCAACTCGCAAAAAAAAGAAATGAGCCCAGATTTGGGGTCCTCTGGGAGTACGCAGAAAACCAGAAAATAAAAATAAAAATTAAAAAACATTTTTTTTCTTTTGGCATGCTCAGGTACCCCGTGCGTCAGACCGCCCCCCCCATTACGCCCAGGTGCCCGGGTGGGCAGGACAGGCCAGGTGTGAGAATCCTCCTAGGTTTTATGTTCTTTTGGCCCGGCCAGGCAAGTGGTCCCAAGCCACTCTGGAAGCGTAGATCACAACAATAAATCTTGCATGCCTGGTTTTTAAGAAAACACTTCAGTCACTGAAAAACTAAATGAGAGAGAGAGAGAGAGAGAGAGAGACAGACAGACAGACAGACAGACAGACAGACAGACAGAGACTGAGAGATGGTAAATTATGCATTCATGCTCTGCAAATCATCATGGTTACCATCCGGATGCCCGGATCCTGATCCAGACAGTCCGGTGTCCCGTGTCCAGTTCAGAGGGTCCGGTTGGACCCCGATTTCAAAAAATTTGAATTCTTTTTTGGGGTTCCCAGGTCATTTACCTGGCCTAGGGTACCCCGGAAAAATAATGCTGATGTTTTTTTAAAACCGGCACCCCAACCGGACAGGCCCTGAAAGGGCCCTCTGTGTGATAACATTGGCACACAGGTTCACTGCTTTGCTCTTATTTGGATGGAATCTTGGTGCACTTGAGCTCTCTGCTTGGTACATGACTATCTGGACTTCTGCGTGATTTTGCAACTTGATTTTCTGTCTATCGCTCTCGCTCATATTCCTTGCATGTTTGTGACGTGGGAGGAGGGTCTGGCCGATGAGAGGGGCGACCAGGGATGGGAGGGCGACGACGCCAGACAGAGATGAGCGACATTAGATACTGTGTTGGTGGGGCCTGAGGGCGATGACATTGGCACACGACTTCACTGCTTTGCTCTTATTTGGATAGAATCTTGGTGCATTTGAGCTCCGTGCTTGGTGGGTTTTTTTTTTTTTTCCCCGGACAACCGGACACCGACATAGCAAACCGGACTGTCCGGTTTGATGTCCGGTTTGATGTCCGGTTTGATGTCCAGTTAACCGGACGTCCAGTTTGATCCAGACACGGGTTTGGCGTCCGTGTCCGGTTGTCCGGTTGTTCGGGGCAACCATGCAAATCATGCATGCCTGATTTACAACCCAAGTGCATTCTGGCCGGATTAATTCTGGCTTCTGAAACATAAAGAGGCTATTAAGCCTATTATAACATTATTTCCATTGTTAAACCACCAGTACCTTTCCCGCGTGGGAAAATAGCGGGCCTCGGGTAGGCGTCCGACCTTTTCGGAGGCCGAAACGACATGACGGCCACCGATCGGATTTATCAAAGGCAGTCGTCGTCGGACCCGACCTCCGAAGATTCAGGAGATTGGCAAAACTGCCAGTTTTCCCTATTTTCCCACGCGGGAAAGGTACTGGTGGTTTAACGATTTACAACCCAGGTGCATTCGGACTAAGTACCTTGCTGAAAGCGAGAAATACCCTTGATGACAGTGGTCTACTTTGCCCAAAGTTGGCAATAACTGAGCGTGTGTGTGTGTGCGTGTATTTGTGCCTTTAATGTTTCCCCCCATGCCCCCCCCTCTTGTGAGTGGGGGCACACCCCATCATGGCCCCCCCCAGAGTTTCCCCCTCTCTCTCTCTCTCTCTCTCTCTCTCTCTCTCTCTCTCTCTCTCTCTCTCTCTCTCTCTCTCTCTCTCTCTCTCTCTCTCTCTCTTCTACAGTGGTGTCACCACGGGCCGTAGTTCGGAGGGTCAGCACACCGCCAGCAAAAACAGGCAGTGTACGGATCAGCCCTCTGGTTTCATTTCAGCTGGCGAGATTAAGTGCTGCAGAAGAAAGAAATGAGGGGCCTCCCCTATGTCCACAAAGGGCCTACCGACCTCTTCAAACTTTTCAGGGCGGAGCCCAAAACAACTGGAAGGGTCAGTTTTCCAGCGATCTGGGGACCTGATTGGTTTGCAAAGGTACCTGGTCAATCTGGGCCTTTCACCAGGGAACGGCCCAGATACACAGCCGATCACAGAGTCTTAAGAGCAGCTGCACATCTGGGCGAATCTCGGCTGCGGACGGCACCTATACATGCCTAATTTGAAAAAACTGTCATCCACCGCCCTCCTAGGCCGTTCACCAGTTCAGCAACACAAAAGTCACAGAATTGCATAATACTTCGATTCGCAATGTCGAGGATGGTGGGGACAGTGTACCATTAAGCAGGATTGAACCCAGTGTCTCGTGACAGCATGTGAGCCGTCAATCGCCTTCTCTGCGGCTGATCCTGCATGTCCCATAACAACTGTCACGTCTTTCATTCTGCTCAGATCTTCCTCTTTATCTACCAATTTCCCGCCACTCCTGGTGATCCAACCCGCAACAACATCGCTCTGCGCAATCCAACAAGACAACAAAACTCAAAAGACAGTTTCCACCCTTCCCACAGCAATCACCAAATACGACCACATTGACACAGCAAATTGACAGGCAAATGCCAAACTGATTAGTTCCAAAATTTCAGCACCCTTGCAACATTTCAGCACACCTTTATATCGGTTTTCCTAATCAACCTCAAACTGCATGAAGGACTAGAACTCCTGAATCTCAATCTGTTTATGAAGAGTTATTCATGTTCGTTTTACTGTTTACTTTCACCGCCAGACTGGCACACACTTTTTTTTTTTTTTTTTTTTTTTTGAAACAAGTCCTTATGGTCCCGGCTCCATATCCATTCCAGGGAGCGTCAGTCCAGTTCCTTTTCACCGGCAAGTCAAGAATTGAAATACATGGTGAACACTCTCACCCTTCCTTCCGTCTGGCCGAAGGAACCCTGACCAGCATTGATTGCTCCAGAGCAGGAGGATTGACTGTCAGCTTGCCCTACCACTTGTCCTCTCAGAATCTACTGCGACTCTGTCAGATGGTCCGTGTAAAGCAAGAAAAGAGGAGAGTTGTCTATATTGTTGAGATTGTAATCTCCGTTTGCCCATCACTGGGTCATCGTCCTTGCTGGAGTTGCGCTGAGCCATTTCTTCTAAATCAATCTGGTATCTGCCACAGTTGCAATCTTTCCCTGTAGAAGCCAGTTTCTCACGAAAGACCGTCTCTTGGTGGTTAAGTCTTTCGGGTCTGATTTTCGTTGTTGATGTCACCTCCCTCCATCTTGTTCAAATCTCAGTTTCCGCCATTCCAAGAAGTAGAACCCACATTTCTTTGCTTGCCACCTCGGTACCCTTGATAGTCTTGGTACACCTATAGAGCCAGCTTCCTGAGCAGGTGAAACCAGACTTCCTTGCCACCTTTGAGATTGTTAGCATTGTTGGATAGGAGCAGGATGTTCAGAGGAGTTGCGGATGGAAGGGGTGATGAGAAGAGAAGGAACCAAAGGTCGTGCACCTTGTTACATATCCATGCTGCTTCAGTGCAACACAGGAGGCAGTGGGCTGTATCTTCCGGGATGTTGTCTGTGCACAACCTGCATAAATCGGAACTGTCAGGGTCCGTATATCTCCTCCTCTTGTGGAGCCATTGATTGACCGGCAGAGATGTGTGCGCTACGAGCCACTGCATGCTTCGGATCCTAACTGGTCTAATAGACAGGTACTTCGTCCAAGGGATGGAAATGGAGTCTGTGGGGTCTAGATTCAGAATCTCCCTCCATTCTTCTTTGATTCTGGGGTCCGGATCTGTGGTCTGTAGTCCCAGGTCATAACCGAATTTAACATCATATTCAAATATCGTCCTCGTTTTCCTGGACTTACCCTGCTTCCAAACCCACTCTTTCGGGTTGAATTCGAGGTCTGAAATGCTGAGGTCCGGCTGGAAGATTTTCCAGGACTTGGCCTTTGAGACCCTCACTTTTCTCAGTCGGAAGGCTTCTAGTATGTCGCACAGGGGTTCTTTGTTCAGGATTTCCAGCTCGGGGTATGAGCAGAATTTGGATAGGTAATTGAGTGGATCGATTCGAGAGACAAACAGATATGCTCTGGGAGCCTGGGATTGGGAGATGAGTATGTCCCAATCCCCAGACTCCCGCGAAAAATTCTCCCTTAGGAGGGAGAGCCACTGTGAATGCTCTTCTGAATCAATGTTAGGATTTCAGTAAGTGAGTGGCAGCCTTTTAAATACTCTCGGAGCTCCTGTTCTGTGGACAATCATCCTCGATCTTCCGCCCGGATGTGTTTCACCTGCCACACCCCTTTTTCCACCCAGGACAACCATCTCCGGTCCTTTGTGCCTAGTGTCCACAGCACCCCACTAGGGTCTACGATCCAAGGGTTGCAGAAGAGAGGTTGTCTCAGGACCTCTTCTCGGTTTCCTGTGTACCATGTTTGCTTGGCATCATTCTGCACCAAGCTTTGCCGGTAGGGCTCCAGTAGGAGATAGCTGTATGGGTGGGGGTTGTGATAGGCTCTGCTGGGTTTCTTCTGTGAGGTCTGTCGGATTTGATTTTCCAGTCCTTTGCCATCAACCAGAAGAGGCCTCTCATATTTGGGGGCGAGTAGATAGGTGCCAGGTTTCTGATGCAGTCTAGAGCAATCTGGGTCCATGGAATGAACTGGCTAATCAGGATCTTGATAATCTATTTCATCTGCAGTGCTATGGACTCCTGTTTGGGGTCAATTAGCCCAAGGCCCCCCTCCTGTGGTTTCCTAATAATGTGGTTCCCGGCTACCCTGTTGATACATGTGGTCCTATTGGGGTCTCCTGTCCATAGATAATATATCGCCCTGTTCTTTAGCGTCTTGAGGTCGTCATCAGGGGGAGACCAGATGGATGCCATGTACCACTGTGTAGACAAGATTGTCGTATTAATTAGTAGAGCTCGTCCGATTAGTGAAGCCTGAGCGTTTTTGCATGGGGCCAAGCGGGCGATTGCCCTAGGAACTAGGTTCTGACCCATACCTGGCCATACCCCGTCCTTGTAAACCATGATACCAAGGAAATGTAGTGCTTGATGTCCCATTGTCCATGACATGGGTGTGGCTGTGTCGGTTGGTTGGGGAGGGGTATCGTCTGCTAACCACCAGCCTTCAGTTTTGCCCCAATTGACCTTCATTTCTGATGCCAGCCTGAGGGCTTCCATTGCTCTTACGAGGGCTTGGAAATAACAGTTATCGGCGCAAATGAGGACAGTAAGGTCATCGGTGAACATTAGTGCAAAGGGTAGAGCAAAGTCATGCAATGGATTGAAGTTGCGTTCAGTAAGGCCGTCGATGGACGGGTCTTTCCGAAGAAAGGAAGCTATGGCTTCCATAATGAAGAGGAATATGGCCGGAGTCAATGGGTCGTCTTGTCTGACCGATCTTGATATCGGGTAGGTCTCCGATAGGATCCTATTGACCTGGACTCTGCCTGTTGCGTCTGAATAAAGGACTTTCACCCAATCTCTGAAGTTCAGGCCTACTCCCATTTTCTCCATGCAGACATAAAGAAAATCCCAATTGACTTGATCGTAGGCCTTTTCGAAGTCAAGAACAGGATTGCAGCCTTCATTCGTTTTTCTGCGATCTTCTTTGCTGCCTCATTCAGCAACATCACATTGTCTAGTATGTATCGGACCGGGATAAAGCCTGCTTGGTCGATGTGAAAGCATTTGTTCGTTAGTTTTGTGATTCTCTTTGCAAAAGCCTTAGCGAGGATTTTGTAGGGGGTGGTGAGTAGTGATATGGGTCTGTAGAACGACAAAAACGGGCGACGAATCACGAATTTGCTGTGCTGATGTCTGCCCTTGCGAAAAGCAAATGAATCTACAAAAGAAACAACAAAAATGGGAGCTGAATCACGAGAGCAACGAACAAAAGAAAAAGAAAACGCTTGCTCGCAGCGGCGCCCGGAGGCGCACCTCACATTCGTGTGCGGCACCACGCGGGGCACGCCACGGGACCACCCCGCGAGCCTTGCGCCCGCCCTCCCGTGGTTTCTCCTGGGCCTGCGGAGGCGTCAAGTGAGGACCGCTGTAAGTTTTAAGCGGTAAGAGAAGAGAAGAAGAGTAGTTGCATAAGTAGAGTAGCTGTGAGTTTGTAGAGGATATCTTTATGGTTCATTGAACTTCATCCATAGTATCTATGATTCTGCGACAAATTCAGGAGAGCATCATAATGATTCTAGTCAGTCTGATGGCAGAAGAAGTCTGGATGTTAGCTTGTAACTTTTGCAGACTGTTTGACAATTGGGAGGACATCCCAACATCCCAAAAAGTAAGAAGGGAAAACTCCAAACTCCCAACGGCAGACAAAAATTAAAAATTTACAATGAAAGAGAAAAAGGGAATGGGACAGCAACGGGAAACGAAAACGGTACAGAGAAGATTGGCATGCCCCTGAGAAAGCACAACACAGGAATGGAGAAAAAGTCCAAAGTTCCTTTTTTTATTTTTTCCTTTTTTTCATACAAGCCATCTAGGGATTAGGGTATTGGCAAAATCTTGGGGTTAGAGATTTAGCAAGGGCGAATTTGAAAAGATTAGAAACAAGGAACCCCCCCCCGTACTGCTCTAGTTGTCCACCTAAACCGGACAGCCCAACAGCTGAGAGGAGTGACAGCGGAACAGCGTTGCTAGGGTTTAGGGTTTTAGGTAGCAAGAGAGTAAGTATTCAGATTATAGTGGCACTACTGAGGGTATAACTGATAGCCAAACAACAGCTAGGTCTCCCATAGTTACTGTACAAAACAAGCAGAGGTAGTAGAACACAGGCTCGCAACCACCCTTGGGGAAGTCGTATAGGCTAACTTAGGCAGGGGTGAGGGGTGGTATATCCTTCCTTCGGGAAGTAATCAATGCTGTCCACTCAGGCCGCCCACCCATAATGGGGAGGAGTGTAACTACTTGTAATCTTCTCTTACTTGCCGGTGGAATAGGAACCAGCCTGATGCTCCCCAGAATGGGAAGGATCCAGAACCATCACGTTCTGTTTTTTGTTATTACAAAAGAGAGAGAGAGAGAGAGAGAGAGAGAGAGAGAGAGAGAGAGAGAGAGAGAGAGAGAGAGAGAGAGAGTCCGAAGTACGAAGGGGGCGAGGAGCGGGGAGAGAAACGTAAACATAGCCGACTACCACTCCTGGTTGATAAAGTGACCAAGCATGGAGTACATGAATTGAACAAACAGGTATGAAAACATCACATGTGGCACCAAAGGAAATTGACAAGTCTGTGACCTCTCCCCATGAATAATGCTGGCACAGTTCACAATCTTCAGATGTTCTTTACACAAGTCATAGGGACCCACTCCTCCTTTCGTGTATCTGGACCCATTAGAGGTTCAATGTATCAGGTCGTCCTGGTCTACCATCCAGTCCAATTACTTTTAGGAGTGGTGGCGCGAGGCCCATAGACTCATAAGATACCAAGAATACTAAACCTATTCTTGTTGAAATTTAAAAAAAAAAACAGTTACCATGGCTACAGCAGACCCACACACCAGGACCATCGGGACACAGTTATTTGACAGTTGGAACTGCGTCAGGATGTCCCGATCTAATGTCAATGTCAGCCCCAACTCGCCACCATCAACAATGTATCCACCCTCTCTCTTCTCAAATGGGGCTTAGCGCCCAACCTACCACTACCAAGCACCTATACAAGCCTAGACTGTGAAGTCGCAACCAGGAAACACTCCAGCTGAAGACCAATATACATAACGAAGTCGCTCATGCAGACCACAGCGTACAAATCAGGTACGTGTATCTTCCCTCTCTCTCCACCTCATATCCTGCCCCCCACAGTCAGCGTCTCCCTCTGCTGAAGACCCACCATCACCCACCGACAACCAACGAGGCAGCACTGCTGCAAGGTGGACTCCAGACTGAATGTCTGGAGGGCTCGCTGCTCTTTCCCATATGGAAAGAGCTCAGACTGGCTGGATCCCTCAAGCCTTACGCCAGGACCCGGTATCTGAAACTGCCAACAGTTGAGGTGGCCCAGGCATGCAACGTGGCGCACTCTGTTTGCTGCACTGTCATTGGTTGAGAGCCAGCATGCGACGTGTCGCCCAGTGAGGGCCTCGTGGGCACACACACTACAGTGCAGATTGTTCCCAGGGCCCGCAGACTCGTGGAAAACCCTCCCGCGCACCCATGGAAACTCGAAGGGGCCGCAGGTTGACCAGAAAGACCCAGGCAAGGAGTCAAAATCCTTGCAATTTTGTTCTGAAAAACAAATTTTAAAACAAAAATTTTTATTTTTTTTTCATACCTTTCTTGGCCTTTAGGCTAAGGTCAAGTGTAGTATCTGTTCCGATCAGCAAAAAAAGAAAAGCATTTTCAATCACTCTCGCGACAGGGCTGCATATGTCCAGCTTCCAGGCCATGGACAGTGACTGTCCTGGCATCGGTACCGGAATCGTAGTCATGATAAGCAGACAAAAATGTCACAAAATTGAACAAACACGGGAAAGGTCTTACCAACTGGCCTAGCTCAGTTGGTACACCCCTGAACTTTTGAAATACAGACCCGACTTCAAACTCCACTGGAAGCAGACGAGTGAAATACTACAATTCTGAATTACCTAGGGCCGATCAGTTCGATGATGATATCTCATGGCCATCGCCCTACAAAAAAAAAAAAAAAAAGGAGAGGTTAAATATGGCAGCGAAGGTAAAACAGGAGCAGAGAGGATTAGTAGAGGAATGGCAAGCTGACAGTCAATCCTCCAAGTGTTTGGACTCCAGAGCAATCAATGCTGGTCAGGGGTCCTTCGAACAGATGGAAGAAAGCGCGTGTGTATGAATCATTGTATTTTATGACTTGCCGGAAGAAAAAGAACCGCACTGATGCTCCCCAGTATGGATCTGGAGCTGGGACCGTAAGGCCCTGTTTATTCAACTTTATTGTGCAAAAAAAAAAGAAAAAGAAGAAAGAAATAAAGGAAGAGGAGGAAAAGAAAAGGGGGAAAGAAAACCTGGAAAAGGTCTTTGCAGAATGGTTACCTCTTTCTGGTCCATCTTCTTGAGGAAGAAAACCATGTTGGCAAACAGAAAGTTGGAGGATGGTGGGGATGGAACAGGCTCGTCCACGGTCTTCTCTACCGCTCTGCCTACTGCCGAACATACTTGACGGGATGTCCCCGAGGCTGGTCCCACCTTGCTGGCATCTACTCTGATCGGTACACCAGGCACAGAGGTATTGTCATGTCCTGTGCTACCCTGACGTGAGAGCACATTTTGTGCTCTCCCACCCATCACCCCTCCTCGACTGTCGTCCATAACCATCTTCTTGTCTCCTCTCCCGTTCCCGCCTCCTCTGGTACCACAGCGCCCACCCTGACTTCCATCTACCAGCACACACGCATCTGTTTCCCTCCCTCTCTGCACAAACGCCCCTCCGTGAACTCCTGCGCCTTCCGCATGACGGCCTAGTTCTTGCGGACGCTCGACGTTCTCCTTTCCTTCTGCATACAGTTCGCCTTGCTCAATGCTGCTCATGGCAGACCGGCCCGCCCCTGAACCACTGTCCTCGGACAGATAGCTTGCCGCAACCGTCCCATTCCGTCTGGTCAACCTTGTACTTGACTCCCCACCTCGTCCATCTTCACGCCTCCCTTGCCAGACTGGCAGCGCACTTCCTGAACGCGAGATGAGATGATTCAAGTTCCAACACCGGTACTCTGCAGTTAGCTGAGAGCTGTGAGCAATTTGTCAGCCAGCTAATGCTGATCAACAAGGGGGTTCAAAGTTCAAACTCCCAATGTAAAACATTAAACCGCCAGTCTGCTTCCCAGCTATTGTGTTTCAACATGGAGTTTAACCTGGGGGGAGCAAAATCGCAGGCCGGGCCTACCGGACGGAAAAGGCTAGCATCGCCTGGCACATCACGAGCCGCACCAGTTCGGCAGGCATGGGCAGGCAGGAGAAATCCGTCCATCAAACACATCCCCAGTGAAGACAAGATCCGGACCGGGTTTTTTCCCATGTACTACAAATCAAATCGCATCTTACTTAGTCCTAGCAATCTCTGCTATTGGTGGGTTTTTGGATCTCTTGCTGGTATTTGTTTGGTCATCCAGATAATTACAGGCATTTTTTCAGCAATGCATTATACGCCTCATGTACCACTGGAAACTTGAAAGCTAGGCCGAAGGATAATTTGATTCCTAACACAAATATTTTTACGACTTGGGTGCAGATCACCTATCGTATTGGGGACAGACGACTAAACGACATATCCAAGCGCTACAGCCTATAGGTGATACCAGCGAGATCCTGTCAAATGATTTTTTTCCTCAAAGTCAGAGGACCCATAGTGCCTGCCTAACTCGAAAGAGACCTGATAACAGGAAAGCACTGGCTACTTCGCCAGTAGCGAAGGGGTCTAGGTATCCAGAAAAAAAAGAGGCTCGGACGGTCCGGTGGTTTAATGCCAATGGCTCTCCAGTCACTCGTCAGATCAAATCGCTCGAGTTCCAACCCCGATCTCTGCAGTTAGCTGAGCTGTGAGGAATGTGTCAAGCAGTGGATGCTGATCAACCAGTCGGGGGTTCGAACCCATAGGTAACAAACAGATTATTGCCAATTTGCAAACAGATGTCCAGTTACATTTTCTCAGAAAAAAAGGGGGCACTGTTCAGTGCCTCAGTGAAAAATTGTGTTCTTTGGGGCATCGTTCAACGACCAATCTCCTCAAAGCTAAGTGACCAAACCGGCACATTTTTCCGAGCCTGGAGCACCAAGTCAAAGGGTTTTGGTCCTCCTGATGGCAGCAGGGAGCAAAAGTATGCAATGTTTTAGCACCGTAATTTTTTTTCCGGAATTTGTTCTTTGTTTTTCCTTTCAATTTTTTTTCCGAAAAAAAGAAAAGCACGATAAGATCAGCAGATTCAGCACTCAATCGATGCCCCTGTTTTTTTTTTCCAGAATTTCTTTGCCAGCAATTTTCAGAGCAAAAAATTGCCAAGTACTTGGCAAGTAGGTGTACAGCTGCGTACTGCAAATTCTGTGCAGCCCCAGAAGATGGCCGCCAACTGCCAACCGCCGAAGTGGCCACCAGGACTTTGCTATGGTATTGATCAAGCATACGTGGACTGCAGCTGTGCACAGCCATTATAAGAACTTTAGCCGAAATGCAGACCAGGTTCGCGAGACAGAAACTTGACTGTAAAATACCTATCACTTCCCCAAGTTAGTGCCTTAGAATTCCAACATGACAAAAGGAGGGGGGGGTGGGGGAAGTGGCAATCAGGACCATCCAGACCCCTTGGCTGGCAGACATTTCACTCTGCTCAAGAGCATCCAGACCTATGCAACTTTGACTGCACGCCCCAATGTCCATAGGCATCAAGTGCAGCATTTCCTGACTTTCATGGCTTAGGGGCCCTACAACGCTGCCAAGGTTCACTTTGCTTGTGTTCTAATCCGAGGACACGAGAGGAAGAGCACACAAGGGGCCTGACTTGACTTTCTTATTGTTTCAAACCACCAGCCCGTCCGAGCCTCTTTTCCCGACCCTCATCTCTCCTGCACACCAAAAGAAATGAACCAGCACAGGACACAAGATAGTTCCGTTTTGTCTTGCACTGCCAGCCTTTTCCTTCCGAGGTGGGCCGAGCCCCCGTTAACGTCGTAGGTTAACCGCCACGTCAGAACAGAATAGCTGGGGAAGGAACTGGTGGTTTAACTAACTACCACCTTCATCTCCCCCGGCACTGCCAAGCGCAGATTGTGGACAAGCTCCAAGACAGATTATGAGCAGAAGCAACCGCAGGAGTCATAGTGATGACACAAAAGAACCAGCAAGAGGAATGAGACGGGAAGAGTAGGAGGAGTAGGAGGAAGGAGTGGGAGGACGAAGGAGATACTAGTCATAGTAGCAATGGTGGTGGCAATCGTAGCAGTAGTGATGGCAGTAGGCGCCCTTGTAGTAGCACTTCTTGTGATAGCTTCAGTGGTGGTGATGGCAGTTATGGCAGCCATGGCAGTAATTGGGGTGGTAGTAGTGGTCATAGCAGCAGTGGTAGTAGTAGTGGTAGTAGTGGTAGTAGTGGTAGTAGTGGTAGTAGTGGTAGTAGTGGTAGTAGTGGTAGTAGTGGTAGTAGTGGTAGCAGTAGTGGTAGTGGAACAGGTGGTAGTGGTAGTGGTAGTGGTAGTGGTGGCAGGAGTGGGAGTGAAAGTGGGAGCGGGAGTGCGAGTGGGAGTGGGAGTGGGAGTGGAAGTAGGAGTGGGAGCAGCCAACAAGTCACCAAGCCTAACAGGGCTCCATTGACTAGAGAACTTAGGAAAAATGTTGAGAACTTAGGAAAAGTGTTGGGATTCAAAATGAATAATGAGAGCACCTGAGAGAAGTAGGTAGCAGATGGTAGGGAGCCATGGGAAGAACACAAACCAGTCAGGAACTTCAGCGGCACACGGTGCTCTTCTCTGATGTCGACGGACATTCGTTTTCTAGTGCACTCCGCCAACCAGGATGGCCAGACAACAGTAAGGCTCCCGGCCAATGCTCTCGATCTGATGGCCTCCCATTCGCTGCACACACAACCATCAAGTCACCCTAATGTGAAAATCAATAGAACACGTGCCAACACACCTGGTGCCGGTGTCAAAGGACATTCACCCCAATTTGATTGAAGTCCACCATCTCCTTACCTCTCTCTTCTTTGTTCTCTCCGACTCATACATGGCTACACCAATCCAAGAGACAACCCGTTTATGTAAACTATAACGCCGGCTCATGCACGTGCGAGGCTACGCCCGCTTAGCCCCTACGGGGCCCTATTTGCAGCAAGGTCGGTCGCCCTAAGTGAAGGCAGGCACGACAGGCCCTTCAGGCCTCGTTTTTTTCAGGGTACCCCGCATTGGGGAAAATTCAGGCAGTTGCGCAGCGCCAGTTGGTTGAATGAACCCAGGCCCTGGGCCGCCTGTGTGAATGTACGAAGAACAGGCCCTGGGCTGGATTCAGGTACCGGGCCGAACACAGGCCGAAAGCAGTTGGGCGCATGCAACCACTTCAGGCCCAAGGCCTGCTTTCCTCGTGACTGGGCCTCAGGCTACCGGGGCCTACTGGAAGCTTCCTGGACTGGACGCAGGCAGGCCACTTCGATATAGGAAAGGGCCTGCCTCTCATTCGCCATTCGGGTGCTGGCTGCATGCTGCGCGAGCGCTGGTGCGCTATCTGCTGGCTGGCTGGCACTCACGCTCTCACGGGCGAGTAGGGAGGGAGCACGCAGCCATAGCCAAGCTGCGCTGCTGTATGCTGGGTGAAKCGCAGGGTGGTCCTTGGGTGCTAGTGGCATCTGTGAGTTGGGGAACGAGGTTGTGAGGGTAGCGTAAGACATACCTGGTGCTGAAGCGTGCGACATTGGTCGCCATATGCTCGTACTTCGGGAACGCTGTTGATGTCATCATTCTGCTTCATAGTATAGGCTAGATAGGATCTGCCACATGTAGTCTGGGCGCCGAGCGCCAATAGGATATCAACTCTGGTTCTTCGCTGATGATGATGGGACTACTTCAGCATT